CCAATCAGTGAGTTTCTTCACTAGTGGGGTGATCCCTAGCTGACAAATGAGAAGACAGCTTTGTTTTTGTTTGTTATTTCTGGTGGCCTTTTTTTCTGGTAGTCTTTAAGTTTTTTATCATAAATTTTAATTAGCATGTATCAATTTCATGAAATGTTTCATTGTGACTTTTCATACACGTATATAATGTCTTTGATCATATTTACCCCATTACCCTCTCTTGTCTCCCTCCCCCTTCTACTTGTCCCCTTCCTCTTCTCAAATTGTCCCCCCACTACTTTCATGTGTCAAATTTTCTTTTTTCAAAAAACCCACTTTATTAGCATATATTAGTTGTGCGTTGTGAACTTCTTGCTTACAATGTATCTTAATTAGATTCACCACCACCCCCATCATTCTCCCTCATCTTTCTATCAGCTTCTTTGACCAATTTCAACAGATTTTATGTTCTATTTTCAATATGTCTACAAAGGACACCCACATATTCACCCTCCTTCACCTTCTGCTTTCATCCTTCCCCTTCTACTGGTACCCACCTCTGAGCAGGCCCTGTTTTATCTTTCTGTCTTTCCTTTTTTATTTTTAAAGTGTATACTGATTGTTCAAGGGGGGGTTCACTGTGGTATTTCACACATGCACACATTGCACTTTAATCAGATTAACCCCTCTATCACTCTTTCTCTATTGCCTTGCTCCTTTATTATTCAACAGTCTTCAGTGCATTTTGTTATACCATCTTCATGCATAAGAGGATCATTTAAAGTATTCTGTCTTGCAGTTAAAACTGTTATACAAAACAAGAATACATTCTTCTTCAGGTACATTAAAGAGAATTTTAAAAAAAATTTTTTATAGATTCCAATTATTTGTTGAAAATCTCATTCATTTTGTTCTTTATTTAAAAAAAATATTTCTGCTTAAAATAACAGCCTTGTCTTCTAGCTACTTTTTATTTTTCTTTTTAGATTACTATTTCATATTTCTGCTTCTTTCAGCTTTAGTAATCTTTATTATATGATGAACATGGATCCAGGTATTATTTTCACCAGTGATAGTCCTTCCTTTCTTTTGCCAGTTAATGTGAGAAGTTCTTCAGTCTCAAGCAGACCTTGAACTGGGTTGGGCTGGGTAGCAGATTTATTAAGACTCAGTTCATCTCTGGTTCATTCCTTATTCCTCAGAATTGGTCCTCAGGATATTATTCCTCAGGATATTTTGATTGATATCCTGGAGTATTCTCTTTGCTCTTTGCCTTGAAAGTTCCACCTTTTTCAGGTCTTAAAAGTAGTTTCTGTCCTTTGTAGGTTCAAAACCTGGCAAATGTCTCAAAGAGGAGACCTACTGTGCAGGCCCTTCTTTCTATTGGAGCTTTGTCCCAAAGTTCTGCAGGAGTATTGATGGCTTCACTTTGCCTTTCCTGATCAGCACACCCCCACCCCACCTAATCGCTGGCATCATTGCATAGCTCAGCATATGTCCCATGAGAAAATCTACCTTGTGTTTTATATCTTCCAATCTTTTTTTTGTCACTGCTTTATAACTACAAAAATGTTCCATTGGTTTCTCTTTTCCTCAGTAGAGCTAAAATATATCTCCATATCAATTAATCAGTCATCTATATGTATAGGTACCAATACTTGTAACTTTTATCCTTCTTTTATTAATTTGTTTTATCTGGTTGGTCAGTTTTAAGTGGCCCTTGTTAGCTTCCATCCACTGCCTGTACTCAGTAAGGATGTCACTTTCTTTTCCAGTTATCCCCTTTCCTCTCAATTCTTTTGTTGCAATTTTTCTACTTGGCAAAACATATGATGCTTGCACTGTATTCTTTGACCCATGTTCCCATTCTTATTTTAGTATTAACTCTATCAGTAAGTAAACTAAGTGATTACACTTCGTTACTCTGCTAAATTTTCTCAGTTATCTTTTGTTTGGATGAACTTTACCTTTGAATTGGTTTTCTACTAAGAGAGTGTGAATACAATATTTCCTCAGTTCAAACTGTGTTTCTGTAGCCCTGTCACTGAAGTACAGTTTGACTACATGTAGACCCAAGAATTAACTTTTTTAAAGATGACACTGCATTGTTGCCTTGATTTTTTGTATTGCTTTTGAAAAGTCTGAGATCATTCAAATAACTGTTCCCTTGTTAGTAAATTATTTTACCTGGTGGCCTAGATAATTTTTAATTTTTCCTGAATGTCCTATAGTTTTGCTAGAATATGTCTCAGAGGTCACCAATTTTCTCATGTATGAGTATTTTTGGATTACAGTTTTTTATGTCAGTCCTGTTCTACTGCTTTGTTTTGTTCTTCCAGGACTCCCATAATATATGTATGTGTGACCATCTTTGCCTGTCATCCATTTTCAGCACTTTCTCTTTGACCTATTTTTATATCTTCATGCCATTTTTATTCTCTTGGTTGATCCCTTTTCTTTTTCTTTCTTTCTTTTTTTTTTTTTTTGTGTGTGTGGCACTGGTAAACTTAGGGCTTCACACTTGTAAAGCAGACACTCTAACCTCTTGTGTCATGCATCTCTGATCCAGTTTGTTCTGATTATTTTGGAAATAGAATCTTGGGAACTATTTGCTCTGGGTAACCTCAAACCTTGATCCTTCCAATTTCAGCCTCCCAAGTAGTTAGGAGTACAGGCAAGAGTCAGCACCCAAATGATTCTCCTCTTCATTTGGTATTTATTAAATCCTCATTGGAATATTTTCTGTCTTGGACAGTGGTCATTTAGTTCTCATTTTGGAGCTGTTTGGTAATTTCCTTTAAGTTTTACCTGATTTGATCAACGATTGTCACATTCCTTCCTATTTTTGTCCATTTCTATCTACGTTTTGAATTTCTGATTCTAGATTTGATACACACATGTCTCATAGTTGTTTGAGGATATTTAATTTTGCTTTTTTGTGAAGAATTTTCATTAGTGAAAATGTTACAATTTATTTTTATGTTTCTTCTTCAAGTCTTCAAGTAGTTTTGTATTATAGTTTTTTTTGAAGAAAGGTGTTTTATTTTTTATTAGTCTATAGTGAACATATTCCTGTCAGTATAGTCAAGTATAATTCCTTACTAGAAAATATTTTTAATGGTAGCAGTGATGTGTATGTGGGAGTGTGTGTGGAGGGGTAGATGTCATGACTTGTTTCTCTTTTGTTTCTTCAGGATTTTAATTTTCCTTTCTTCTTTTTCATGTCATTGGACTGTCATGTCTTTAAGGTGCACTCTCTCTTGTCAGTGTAGCTGATTCACCTCAGAAGCCATTCTTAGTTGAAGCTTCCACCACTGGTCTCACTCGTTTTCATGTTCCTTCCTTGTGCTAGTGCTGTAACCCATCAAGACCCAAGCTTGTTCAGCGTTTGGCATTTAATGTTTGAGATTTTCTCTCGGGCCTCAGTTTTGCTTCTGCTTTGTCCAGATCATCCACTCCTCTTTTCTCTTTTTCAGAGATTCTGTGAGGTCTTGCTTCCCTCACTTCCCACACACAGAGTCTTGCAGTAGTGGAGTATGTTTTGTTAGAATTTGGAACTTACCTATTTTTTGGAAATTTAGTGTTTGCGGTATGCTGTCTCCTAGCATCACCAGGCATGTATCATATATAAGTTCATTTGCGTTCTTCACACATCTCCTGGTTTTCTGGAAAAGATGCACAGACAAATTCTGGTTCAGAGAGTTGAAATCTTCTAGATCCATGTATAATTTATTGCCATTATCACTTTTTTAGGACAGATTTATCCCTGCTAATAAGTAGCTCCAATTTATTTATTTTCATGCTGCTTGATGACCTATTATATAATTTATTAACTCATTCTTTGATGGTCATTTAGATTGCACTTAATATTTCATTATTACAAAAGTGCTACAAAGAACATACTTGTACAACTGTTTTCCTACATGCATGTGTTTTTTAGAATATCATCTTAGTATGTTTTGTGTTGGTATAAACAAAACTCCTGAGGTTAGATACTTTATAACAAAAAGAGGTTTATTTAGTTTACAGTTCTGGATGTTTAAGAGTATACTGCCTGCATCAACAAGTTTGGTTTGCTTTGCTTTTTATATTCTTTTTCTATTTTGTTTTGATTTTACTTCTTTGTATGTTCATCTTTGTGATTATACAAATAAATACTTTAAAAACTCTACATTTTATAAATATATTTTCCAAATGCGTGTCTTACCTGTAATTTGCTTAAAATTACATACTTTTTAATATTTAACATGAAATCTATCATTTTTCCCACTAACACTTGTTTTTTAGCATGTTTTATGAACCCTCTGATCACCAAGAATTTCCTAATCAAAGTATATTTTGCCTTTCACATTTATACCTAATGTAATTAATGCCATGTAATAATTTTTCTCCTTTGTGGATAGTCAATCGCTCCTGCACCACAAATTCATATTTGCAAACGCTCCTTGTCCATTCAATTATGCTTAAAGATAGCTTGGCATTGTCACAGTATCTCTCACCACATCTTTCTACAGTATCATTATTTCTTTGTTAAACCAAGCTACTTACTGTAGTCATATGCCAAGATGCTGTTTTTGTTCTCCCTACAGGTCATGTTCAGTGTCTTTTTTTCTTAATAAATTGTAAACCTCTTGTGGAAAATACATTGCTCAATTCAACTTTTCATCCTCGATACTTCGCATTGCCTAGGTTTTGAAATACTACTCAGTTTTAATCTGAATTTAACTTGACCTCCGTAAGTTATATATCCATATATTTTGGAATCTTGAAAATGCGTTTAATGAATAGGAGCCAAAATCATCGTTTCTGCGCCCATTTTAGAGGACAATCTCTGGTTGTCTGCGGTGGTGCGAGCAGTGAGTCTTACAGGGCCAGGCATGGATTGCAGGCGTGATGCGCACCTGCGTCTTTGCAGTAGATGCCAGGCGTCAGCCCCTCCATGACTCGGTTCCAAGGTGGGGCGATGCCCCAGGAATGTGTTCACATCCATTGTCCTCCATGGTCCTCTTCATTTCCTCCAGATGCCTGGACCCCCAAGTTAATAGCAAGACGTGGAGATCACCTCGGAATCACAAGCTGTGGGTGCATCGAATGCCGGACTGTCAAACTCGAGGTCTACATTCCTAGAGACCCGGCCCTGTCCTTTTAAGCAGCAAAATTCTCGGGTGACTTCTAGAATCTTGGCAGCCTTGTTTGCTGCTTGGTTACCACAGCAGGCGGAGCTGGGACCCAGACCCCACCCCTCGAGGACCGGACTGCCGGTCTCGACTTTGTACTGGTGACTTAGGGCCACGGCGACATAACACTGGAAAGGGAAGATTCCCAGCGGCGGAGACCACTTGGTGTCGCCCCAGGCGTCTGCGGAGTCCCGGCAGGGGTCGCTGGCCCAGCGATGAGGCTGGCGCGCCGCCTGGGCTGCCCGTCCGCGCCTCGTTCCCTCCGCGAGCGCGCGCCCGGACTACATTTCCCATAGGCCCGCGAGGTGCAGCGGCGCAGCGCCGTGCGCGTCCCCGTGAACCAGCGCCTCCGGGCCTCCCCGGCCGCCGCGGCCCCAGCCCTCCCGCAGTGCATTTGAGCAGCAGCAGGAGGCAGGTGGCGCGATGGCGAGCTTGGGCAGCCTGCTGTGCGTGCTGGGCTTGCTCTTCTGCTGGGCGGCGAACCAAGGGCTGTCGCGACCCTCCAAGCGCACCACAGCGAAGCCCATCATTGGTAAGAAGCCCCGCCGAGGGGAGGGGCTGGGGTCGGTCCCGGGCGTTCCCTACAGCTGCGCTCCCACAGCACGCCCCACCCGGAGCCCCAAATACAGGGTTTGGGGGACATTCCTTGTCAGTACCGGTAACCCTGGCCACACTCCCTTTGGATTGCATTGAAGTGTAGCAGATGTCTCCTTAACCTCATGGTTAGACTTGGGAGAGGGGAGAGGGGCACAGTGAACATTCCTGCGGATTTTCTTTTTTTGTATATAGCTAGGCATTTGTACTACAAGAGATAAAAGATTCTTTCTCTGCATAGCTAGTAGCAATTCTGTTTGTTTGCATCTAGAAACTCTGTACATGCATTATATTTTCTAAAATTTCCCTGATTGAGGGTGTGTTTCGAGTACATTCATTGTACATAAAAATGTAAAAGATTACCTTGAACTTTGTCATCGTCAGCATCATCAAGCGGCAGTGGTAATCTTAGCGTCAATTCTGCTTAATCTTAAAGTGAAGCACGTAAATTTTTTGTTGTTTTCAAGCACGTTTATGTTTTAAAGGGAATTAAATCAGCTTACATTAATAGAATAGATATTTGAGATATGACTTGGGAAATTACCTTGGAGTAATCCACCTGGAGTTAAAATTTGCCAAAAGAAATTCATAGGTGGATAACTCACTTAGTTTTATCCCACTCTGTGTAGGGGTATGCCATTCATACTAGGTTTTCCCCCATGAAACTGAGCACTGTATGCTGTAACCAAACACAAACTAGACAGTTTTTTCTTTTATTTGGGCAGTGCCCAATGGGTTGCATACTAATAGTTGGAACCCACAATGCCTTATTCCATATTCTTACAATGCTGGTTATATTCTTCAAGGTGAATTATATAATTTTATGCACAGAGTTGCATAAAAAGGAATGAAAATAGGAGATTTGTTTCCATTTCTTAGAATCAGGGATAGCCCAAGGTCTAATGCAGAGAAAGGGAGTATGCTTTTGGTCATCCCCATCGATTAAGACCGAATAGTTGACTGAGCACCTAGTATGTGCAAGGCATTACTCTAGGAAGTGCAAAGGATTCAAAGACAAAGAAAATACAAAAGGCCATGAAGTGTGTATGGAATTTTGGCTACACGTAGAGAGACAGGGAGTACAGTCTGAACTCTTCCCAGGGATGAGAAAAGTGAATATCCGGGAGACAAGGGGTGGTGGAGGGGTGTTGGTGGAATTTACTCTAATTTCTTTCCTCTTTCCGGCACCTGAGTTCCCATGATGTCCCATGCCTTCTTTCCGGGTACCTTGCCTGCCCTGTACCACTCCATTTCCTGTGGCACTCCCTAATTCTTCCTTCCCTAACCCAGTTTCATTTTCCTTAGTTGAAGACAATCTTAACCTACCAGTGAGAGGAGAAATACTCTTCCTGAGCACAGTTTGACGTTTAGCATATCTTATCTGAGTATCTGATGCATACCAGTTATTGTAAGAAGCTGGAAATACAGATGTGACTAATACAGGTGACAGGCTGATCCTGTCAGATGGCCTTTGAAAGTGTTCTAGGCACTGAAAGTGTTCCAAACGAAATACTGAATGATACAGGCAAAGGTACTCAACCCACAGATATATTCCTTCATGTGTGTGTGCTGGAGTTTGAGCCCAGGTTCTTGTACATGCTAAGAATGTGCTGACATTTTCTGTGTTGCTGGATGCCAGTACTGTGCTGGACTTCGGTTTCAATGGTAAGAGGAGGCCAGAGAAATGGGTAGGACAGAATACACAGGGTCTTACAGAGTTTATTAAGGTTTAGGAACCACTGAGATGCCTAAACAAGATGGTGACCCATGCTAACCTGTATCTCTAGCTACACATTCTAGAATGAAAGCCCACAGGGCAGGGATTTTTGTGATCTTCATTCATATGGCCCCACAACTCGTTCAGTGCCTGGCATGCAGTATGATTCATCAGTATTGGGTGAATGAAGGAATGGTGGTCAGTCAGCTTTGCTTTCATTTGGAAAAGTGGTTGGCGTTGGAGGGCTCCTTGAGAAAGGATAGAGACCTTTTAATAGTCTGTGATTCAAGCATGTTGGTTGCTTGAATTACAGTGGTGGAGAAGAGATGTGGGTGGAAGATATTTCTACTCTTGCCTTGCAGGCAAGGAAACCATTGTGTCTTTGAGTGTGTGGGAGAAGGGAGTGGCCATCTTGTGGACTTAAGGATCTACACTCAGAGATGGGCTCTACGTCTAAGATTACATGAAGGATGCTAGTATTATCTAATCTTGCTTCGGGGACTTTTTTGACTTCCCTGATGTGGTGAGCAAGAGGAAGCTAAATGGCACCCAGGTCATCCTCCACTACTACTTTTCCAAACTCTGTGAATGGACTTGCAAAAGATGTTTCCCATTTAATTCTGTGAATTGAAAGAATAAAATATTAATATTTTTACTGTGATGTGCTTCAGTTTTTGAGCAAGAAATTAATTTACTTGAAGCTAAAACTTCTTTTAAAACTTAGGAATATTGATGCAAAGATGTCAGAGTCAAGAAATGAAAAACCTTGGAAAATACTATATTGCTGCCTCCTATGTGAAGTATCTAGAGTCTGCAGGTGCAAGAGTCGTACCAGTAAGGTATGGTTGAGTGTTTTTTACACTGTATATAAAAATTGCTATTCCATTTCTAAAATGCTTTCTCTCTGATTAAATTCAAATGTAGTGACAATGCATCTGATTTTTGCCACAAACCTAATACCTACAGTCTCATGTTAAACTTTTAGTGTATGAAGTCCTGCCTAGCAAGCAAGAGTAAGACCCTGAGTTCAACCTCAGTTTTGAAAAAAAAATTAATGCTAGCATTGAGGTAGTTTCCCTTATTCTGGAAAAGATAGTCCTTACAGACATCATGAACATAATGGAATAATCAAGTCTCTGACTTAACCAACTTTTTCCTTAGTACTAGGATAAGGGAGCACTTAGGGAATGAAGGAGATTTTTTTAGAAGATGGCTATTAAAAATATTTTCACACCCTTTAAAAGTTTATAAATGATCACTATATCAGTGTTGCTTCAGTATAAATGACAGGTATTGTAGTTTTAAAGGAGCTACTTTAGTTTTATGATAAAATGGCCCCGTAAGAACATGTGATTCACTACGTGTTTTCATTTGGAAGCACTGAATTCATTTCATGCTCGTATTTGGAAAGAGCTAGCAAACAGAATCTTAAAAGTATTTATAATGTATTGTCAGCTAAAATTAGGGGATTAGAATCTCCCGGAATGCTTATTCAATCCATTCTAAGTGATTTCACACACAAAACATAGCTATTTATTTTGTACAGCCCATTTTGTAAATAACTCCTTATTAAAAACTAAATCATTAATATTAATAATATTACATGTAATATAATATAAAACAGTATAATACTTTAAAATAATAAATATTAATATAATTAAGTATGATGACAATAAATTGATAATATTACACTTACGGAATTGTACCACACAATAATCTTATGGTCAAATTCCTAAGAATTATCTTCTTGTTGGATTTTTTCAATTAATGTACCTTAACTGAACATTTACTTTTAACATTGGTTTTTATTTCTTGGTAGCCAATCTAACTTTTCAAATGCAATCTTGATTTGGAATCCAGATAACACCAGAGTTTTAGAGCTGAGGAGAGTCCTCAGCACAGTGTTGCAAAGTTTCAATGGAAGCTTACTAATGCAAACTGTTCTGTTACGAAGTTAGTGCTCATAACATGGGCCAGACACTGAAGGAGAGATGGGAGCTGGTAGCTCAGTTCAGAGGCTTTTGCGATGCACCGGGTGTGACGAAGTAATGGACGTGTAGGCTGTGGTTTACAACCCTGGTTGTGGAGTTGATCGGTACATGTTTTTAAAGAACCAGTAAGACTCGATGACTAATGAAATGAAATGACACAGGGAAGCAGAAATAGATGAGAATGCTGGAAACCAGGGAAGTTTTGAAATCAGATGACTTGCAGAATGCTGATATTTATACTAGAGGCTAGAAATGTGAGTATAGGAATAGAGGTTAATCTCCAGCTTGGGTTTCCAAAGTTCATTTAAGATCTATTCCTTGAAATTGGAATATATCTTAAAATTATATCTTGAAATTCTGATCCTGTAGAAACAATATAATACATGGGAGCCAAATTCCCAGACTAGCCTGCAAAGGATTACCTAAGGTAAAATATTGGACATACCATTACTATTCGGTTTGTATCTGTGTGTTGGTTACTGGGGGCTACCTTCTGTACTTTAGAAGGGAGAAGGAAGTGGATGGGAGACTTAGGCAAAATTATGCCACAGATGAAGAAGTTTGTCTTTTGTCTCCTACCTTATTTCTGCTACTTTCTTTCTCAAATACTTGATGCCCTCAGGTCATCCTGTTTCCGTTGTGGAACTTGTGGGAAATACAGTGTACAACCACTGATTGCTTCTGGTTTAAGTTCATAGTGTTTAGAAAAAATTTTTTTTGGTCAGGCAATGTGGCTTCTGCTTGTAATCCTAGCTACTCTGGAGGTGAAGATCATGATTGGAGTCCAGACAGGGTGAAAAGTTCACTAGACCTCATCTCAACCAATAAAAGCTGGGAGTGGTGGTATATGACTGTCATCCCAGCTAAGTGGGAAACATAAACAGAGGACATAGTCCAGACTGGCCTGGGCATAAATGTGAGACTCTGCTCAAAAAATACCTGAAGCAAAAAGGGCTGGAGATGTGTAGAGCACCTCTCAGGCATGTGTGGAACCCTGAGTTCAAACTCCAGTGCTACAAAAAAAATTTTTTTTAAAGTTTACAAATCAGAAGATTTTGTAAAAGACTGAAATTTGGGCTTCTTTTGAAGATAGCTATCTGGGACTGATTGTAAATGGGGCAGGTGCTGTCTACTGACAAGGGTACCACCCTTCCTTTTCAGGTTACTGAAACTATAATTTGCCATCATTATTGAGCTTAGCCATTTTGTTTTGATTAAGGAAAGAGAGTGGAGTGTTTCTCATGTATTTCTTGAGAAAGGCTTCTCTGTAATGAAATATCTGACAACATGCAAATGACATCTGTGTTCAAAAAGTGGGACCTAGCTTATTTTCACTGATAGGCCCCGGAGGCAGGAGAGTTTGTGATACATTCAACAATTAGGCCTGTTAATAGTTATAAGTGGGGCCCCAAATCTGTCATGGACAATGTGGGAAACAATTATTTAGAATTAATGAAATGACTGAAACCAGCCTGCACAGCTTAGCTGGCTCAGGAGTCCTTGGAGTGCAGCTGAGAAATCTCCATCCATTCTCCCTCCTGATGGTTGCCTATCCTGATTTAAATATGTATAGGGAGGATTTTGCTAGTATAGTCTGGAAAGATTGAACTGGCAGAATATGGAGAACATATAGACTCACATTTCACTTCCCTATCAGTTTTGAAGGCAGGGCTGGCTACCAGTTTGACTTCCATTTAAAACAGTCATAAGCTCTGCTTTGGGGCTCTCTGACCAAAGGGGATTTACTATGAACTTCTAAAAACAGACCTGGTCTTGCGGCTTATTGGACTTACAGCAGAGCCCGTGGAGTTCGTTGGCAGAGCACAGTCAAGTGTAGGCGTCACAGGTGTTTACTTACTAGTGGGAGAGGTGTTCTGGCTCCCCCTAAAACTTTCCCCTGGGGCAGAAATGGACTGTGGTTGACATCTTATGTAAACCTGCTTTTGTGGGGGTTTGAGAAGGCATATGCTTTGTTATTTTCTGATAGAAACAGAAAACTGCCTAATGCAGGAGTGTTCTTGCAAGGATTCCACAGACATTTTATTGAACTTTTGGAAGAGCAGACATCTTACTGTGACTTAATTAAAGGTTGCTGCCAATTGTCATAGATTAATACCATAGGGTTTAAAACCATCAATTACATAGTGACTGTTAGGAAGTCCTTCATGGTGCTTCAGAGTTGTTAGGCAAGTCTACAGTGATGTCTGTAATGTATCATTAGATCTGAACCATTCTTAATTTTGAATACCCATTTAGTCCCCACACCTTTGCAGTTGGTTATTGGTGATGAAATGAAGTAGGGATTTGGCATGTATTTGTATTTGTTTTTATTCTCCAGAGTTGCTTATAGTTACAATGGGCATTATAATAAAGTTTTTTATTTAATCTTCACAAAAAACAACCAAACTTCTTAGATTTCTTTTCTTTTCTTTTGCTGGGACTGGGGTTTGAACTCAGGGCCTCATGTTTGCCAGGCAGGTACTCTACCACTTGAGCCACTCTGCTAGTCCTTTTTTACATTGTGTATTTTCACGATAGGGTCTTGAGAACTATTTGCCTGAGCTGGCCTTGAATGAGATCCTCCTGATTTCTGCTTCCCAAGTAGCTAGGATTATAGGTGTGAGCCACCAGGTCCCAGCCCTTAGATTTCTTTTATAGTTCTTTGCTATCAGAAAACTAAGAGTCTCCAAACTCATGGTCTACAAGGTTTTGCATATTAGCACATACTTTGCAGTGTTAAATTTCATTAGACCATGGAAAAACATTTACCTATCTGATTAGCAAAACAAGTATTTAATGATGTGGTATATATGTAGTTTGGAAAAAAAAATGGCTCTAGGAAGGTAGAGAGGTAATTGCTGAATATTTAAGAATTATTTTTCATGTTAGGGATGTAACTCAGTGGTAGAGTACTTGACTAACACACAGTTCTGCCAAAATTTTTTTATTCATTTGAATTTAAAAGTTAATATGGTGACTTCATTTGGAAGTTTACTTTTTTTTCTTAGGTTTCAGAAATGAATGGTTTGTAAATTGCTTTTATTATTTTCAGGCCTGATCTTACACATATAGAGTATGAAGAAATGTTCAAATCCATCAATGGGTAAGTTGGCTTGATACAATGTATATGTCAATTGGTTTGATGCAGTCTATCATTTGTCTACATAACTGTCTGCTTTTGCAAAAATATGTATAAATATTATATTTGCTTCTATATAACCATTGTTTTATAACTGTCTTGGATATTAGTTTTCTGAGTTTTTTGTAGGAAATATTTTATTGGAAGATGAAAAATTTTCAGAAAGAGTATGAGACAAATTAGGAAATATATATAATCGTTACATAGTAGACACATAAAAATTTTTTACATGTGCAAGGTAATCTTTGTTCTTTTATTGCTTGTCTTGAATATTTGTAAGTCACTTTGAATGGCAACACAAACTGCTTGCTTAGGGGTCTTATAAGTCGTATGTTTGACAATGATTGGTTATCTTTCAGATGATTGAATATAATGATTGGTTATCTTTCAGGGGTAATTTGAATGAACTTGGAATTATTTTTTATTCTTTAGCTTTACCACAAAAGATATGATTGGTTAACTCACAGAAAAGGATTTTAACCATATGAAGAAATGTTCTAAACTACTCTTAGTTTAAGGAAGAACAGTTCATTACAGCAGTTAAAATCCACTTTGACTATCAGGTTGGCAGAGATCAGAAAATTACTCCATCATGAGCGTATAAAGAAACAAGGATTTTCATTTTATTAGTGGGACTATAAATTATATAGTCTTCTGGGGGACAGTTTTGCAAAATCTGTTAAATTAGGAATATTTACTCTTTGACCTGGGAACTTCAAAGGGAATTTTATTTTACAAATATATTACACTCCTTGTGTTAATAATTTCAATTTACAAGTTATTCACTAGTCCAGCAGGTAGGAATTGGTGAAATGAAATAAACTAGGTACATTTAGTAGAGTATTATGCAAGAGTTTAAAATAGAACATATATATAGATACTACTTTTTTGTTATATGAATGTATTGTTACATGAAAAAAGCAAGACACACAGTGGTACATATATTGTATATTTGCTACTTGCTTTTTATCTTTTTTTTGTTGTTGTTTTCAGTACTAGGGATTGAATCCAGGCCCTCACACATGCTAGGCAAGCGATCTATCACTTGAGTTATATCCAGCCCCTTCCTTTTCTATTTTTTGCTTTTGCCAAGGTGATCCTTCTGCCTCTACTTTCTGAGTAGCTGATGTTACCAGCCTGGGCCACCACCCCTGGCTTGCTTTTGTTTTTAAGATAAGGGTGGGGAGATTTATATAGTGTATTTCTGCTAAATTTGCACAAAAAATGAACAGTAGTTATTTTTGATTGGGAATAGGGTGAAGAAGTCTTGTGTTCTTTTTATCATAAAGCTTTTTTTTTAAAGAGCTTTGTTGTTATTTTACTTTTTAAAAGCTATATTAATGCATTGGTTTATTTTTTAAAGCTATGTTCAAAAATTATTTACCTTTCATTCAAGTTGGTTTAGTAAATATTTACTGTAAATTCAGGACAGTTTAGTAAAGCACTTACAATGCTTGTTGCCTGTTATGTACAAAGTACTTTGATAAGAACAAAGATAAGTAAGTCTAGATCAGAATATAATGCAAGAGCCCCCAAAACATACTTTTTTATTGTGGTACTGGGGATCAAACCCAGAGCCTCCGTGCATGCTTAACCACTGAGCTACATCCCCTGCCCCACAATATATTTTTTGAATTACTTCATCCCTTTCCAACCCTTTCCTCAACTGCATCCCTGTTGGAAAGGAACCTGGAATAGTAGTTGTATAGACAGGAAAAAGTATTGTTGGTGGTCAGCTTGTTTAGATGCTCTGTGTGTCTTCATAGAATCCAGCAATGGTTCTTAAATTGACCAGGGAATCCCTTACTGTGTCTTCCCCTTCCATGTTCTTCATAGGCCCATAGTTTCTGCCATAGCACAGTTCAGCACAGCACAGCACAGCACAGGCACCAAAAGTTGGGCTCTGAAAGAGGGAAAAACAGGGGCTATAATTTACTCTTTCTGATTGTCACTACAAAAAAGAGCAGTACTCTAATGCAGCTTCAAACACACCTTTATTGAGCTCCTGTTTTGCAGGGGATCCAATACTGTTTTTTGGGAGAATACAGAGAAGGAAAAAGCCTGCCTCATAGGAGGTTGTAATCTGGGAGGGACAGTCAAGTTTTACTGTCCGAAAGAACTTCAAGATTAGACATACCAAATTTGCTTAGAGGCAGCTTTTTAAATACTGAGTTAATAGAAAGAGAGAACAGCAAGTGAGTCTTGATTAAGCCACCTTTTTGTTCTTTCTTTTTCTTTCTTTTTTTTTTTTTTTTTTTTGGAGCAAAAGTGGCTAAACTTCATGCCTCCACTGCTTTTTTTGGGGGGACTGGGGTTTGAACTCAGGGCTTCCCGCTTGCAAAGCAGGCACTCTACCACTTGAATCACAACTTCATTCCATTATGCTGTACTTATTTTGGAGATGGAGACTCATGAACTGTTTGCCTGGGCTGGCCTCAAACTGTGATACTTTCAATCTCAGTATCCCAAGTAGCTAGGATTAGGTATGAGCCACTGGTACCTGGCAATTAAGCTACTTTTATTTTTCCTTTTTTTTTTTTTGGTGGGACTGAGTTTTTGTTTTGTTTTATTCTTTGGTGGGACTGGGGTTTGAATTCAGGATTTTGAGTTTGTAAAGCAGGCACTTTACAATTGAGCCATACCTCCAGTCCATTAAGGTACTTTTAATTGTGGCGATTTCTGCATGGTTTTGTGGCAGATGTCTTACTATACAGTATTGAAATGTTTTCTACTAGGCTGTCATCTTCCTATCAGCAGGCACTAATCATCTTTGTCTCACACTAGTACTAAGTCTGACTTATAGAAACAGAATATGCTTTTGAATGAAAAACAATCTCAAAAATGATATTTGACATATCTCATTCATATTGGTATATTTTCAGAATTTTAATATGCTTAGTCCAACTTTTGCAGGTCACAGAGACCAGATGTCTTTTGAATCCTTAGTTATTTCAAGACCTAATATAAGTTTCTAAATTTAAAGTTAACTTAAAAAGCTAACATAGCACATGATAAATATTTTTCTGTATTTCCTGTTTATGGGTAGAGTAAAACAAAATCAAATGTTTGTGACTCTTCTTTTTCTAGACCTGTTGAATGGTCATTGTGTTTGTTTTCAAGAGCTAACACTGTGCTTATTTCTAAAGAGATCTCAGGGGTAAATTCCTATAGCTATTTAGTTCTAATCTAAATACTTTTTGTGATTAGTTTTTCATAGTTAAAAATTATTTGTGAGCTAAACTCAGAATTAAGAACCTGAAGTTGATTTGATGTCACTTACCACCTTAATTAAAAGAGTTTTGTCTCTATTTGGTTTCTAGCTCTGGGTACTCCTCTTGCCCCTTTCTCATTTACTTAACTTTAATTTATTTATACTCTGTTTCATTAAGTAAGCTTGTTATTGAAGAAATTTTAAAAGCATATGCATCAAAGTGTTGTTAACTGTAGTAGTTTCTGAATGGCTAGTATTATCAATAATATATATACATACATATGTATATATATATATATATATATATATATATATCCCTTAGTTTTCTAATTTTCTTTAATGATACTACTGCTTTAGATAATAAGGAAAAAATTGCTTTAAAATGAAAAAATTATGTTCTGTATGTGTGTATGGGGAAAAATGCATTTTAATTGATGTTGTTTCAGAATCCTTTTCCCTGGAGGAAGTGCGGACCTGGTGCTCTCCGATTATGCCCATGCGGCCAGAATTTTTTACAATTTGTCCATGCAGGTAAATATCTGTCATTGCTTGTCACTCCAGATGGCTTTTGTCAGTTTCTATAAGGATAATTCTTTTTGTAAGTATTTGGTAATGTTTCCTTCACAATTAACCAGCCTATCTCCCATAACATTTAGCACTGTTCTCTAGCAGTCAGTGGCTGGTCCCATCTATGTTCTGGGCTTCTAGGTGTGAACAACATCCTTATGTGGCTTGGTAATTCTAGCGTCTCCCTCTAGCATCTTATCCTTTTATTATGTACTGAGCATCGGTCTGATATTATTGATTCTCGCTTCTTGAAATCTGCTCTTCCTCTCAATTTGTTCTATCCTATTTAACCTCTTCACAGTAAGCCATCAACGCAAAAGATAGGTTGTGCTGCAAAGGGAATAAAAGGTACTTTATTCTGAACCAAATATGAGTGACCAAGGCCCTGGAACACAAATTTAAGGTTACCCTAAATCACATGCTCCCAGAGGAAGAGGTTGAATGAACTTTATAGAACAAAAGAATGCCATAATTAATGCATTTACCAAAGCCATTGGTGGGGGCATCCAGTAGGCAACCTGTAGCATAGTGGGGAAAACTCTACTGTAGGTTTTAGATGTTATAACATCCTTAGGTTTTAGATTGGTAGAAGCCAGAGGTCTGCTAAGTTTAATAATATATTCCCAAAATTTTGCCTAGTAGTTATAAAAATGTTCAATCAGATACAGAGGTTGATATTAAATGGCTATTAAAAGGTACTAAAGATAGCCCAGGATAGTTTGGCCTCTTGATTTGCAATATTCCATTTTTCCAATCACAATATTCTAGTCAATAAGTCAGTCCATAGGATTTTCAGCACAGTTGGTGGCTTCTTTGGAGAACCTCAGATCATATATCCCACTGACTTCTTGACTGCTTCATTGTAATGCCTCACTTTGGGCGCATGTTTGCCTCATAGCTTAGCTCCTTTCTGTTTCTCTCCTTAATTATTAATGGCAGTTTTCTAATTAATCTTGCTGGCCCTGCTATCTTGGCCACCCTCCCTTAAATATTTCCCTAAATAAGTGCTTTTAGCATTTGAGACACTTATTTAATAATTTTTGATAGCTAGATTAAATAACCCACGGCCTTTCACAGTTAGACCAAGATATACAGTGCATCCACAACTTACTTTTCCAGCCTGCTTGGGAGCTTGGTCTGGAGATTAAGTGATAATCTGTTTTTGGATCTTGGAAAATTCTGCAGAAATCCCTGTGTAACTCAGGAGCCTGGCTAGTAATGAAAACCCATGTGTTTAACTTTTGTTTAAAAAAGTTTTAATAAACTTTGCTTTCTTTCTCTCACTGTCCAAAGAGTTTTGATGAAGGAGACTATTTTCCTGTGTGGGGCACATGCCTTGGATTTCAAGAGCTTTCATATCTGATTAGTGAGGAACGCTTACTAACTCTCACAAATACTACCTCAGTGCCATTGCCGCTGAAATTCACTGGAGGTGAGAATACTCATTTAAACCCTTCAAAAAATGTTGACTGAATAGGATTCATAAGTAGAAAGTATCAAAGTATCAAAAAATTACTTAAAACGTTATTTTTAAAGTATTTACCCATGCTGAAGATGTGAGTGCTCCCCTTTGTATTCATTTGTGAAGATGACTTAAAGGCATTTTAGATTTTGATAATTCATTGCTTCTAGTAATACCCAAGCCCATGTGTGATTAATAACTCTGAAATTCATCTTGGTTTTGAGTCCTAATTTTCTCACTTTGACCTTTGGGAATAATTTAATCTCTCTTAGCTTCAGATTCCTCATTGCATGAGAGTCTACTTCTCTTAAATAAGATGATATTTTCTATCCAGTGTGCTAATTACTTTAAATATAACTCTTACAAATATTAGCTATTATTAGTATAGTGTCAACATTTTCCCCTTGGCTCTATATTTTTTTTCAATCCCAACTGACTGGACTGCAATTTAATTCTTCCACTAAACACCTAGAGTTAGTGCAGATCCCACAAGTTAATGGACATGATCTCCAATAAGATTGCTCTGTTTTGTGTGTCACCATAAAGCACATCCCCAGGCCATTATTCCATCTTCTTACTATCTTCTACAAATTTGAGGATTCCTAGGATCCCTCATGTTTTGTTTCATAATGTAGTATACTCACCAGTGAGGAACTCCTGTGAACTTTGGTGTCTAGAGCTTTTATGGGAGTTTCCTTGCAAAAACCTGATTGACTCATTGGCCACATGAGTGAACTCAGTCTCCAGACTCTGTTCTGTATCTGAAGGTTGGACTGGCTCAAAGTCTCAACCTTTTAATCATGTAGTCTTTTTGGTAATCAGCACCTATCGCGAGATACTCTGGGGTCCTACCAGAGTCACTCCCTTTTTTTTTTTTAAGTCACTTTTACATTTACTCACATGTGTATACATTGTTTGGACCACCCCCCCACCTCTTCCGCCCTCTTGTTATCCAATTTTTTTGATGATAAACGTAAGAGATAATAAGAAAGACAGCGTTTTTGCTAGTTTGAGATAAAGACAGCTATACAGAGAGATTCGTAGTGTTGCTTCCATGCACATGTGTATTGCAACCCACATTGATGTTCATCTCTACCACACCTCTTCACTACTTCCTAGTCCCCTTCCCCTAGTGGCCTCTGCTAGTTTAAGATTACAATATTCACTCTGCTAAATAGAGCAAATCAACCATATTCAAGTTTTAGGTTCCCTTCCCTTTACCTATTCCTCCTGTGCACGTTCTTCCCTTTATGTGTGACCCATGTCCAATAATATTACTGCATTTGTTTTAGGTCTATAATCCACTTATGAGGGAGAAATGCAATTTTTTTGTCTTCTGAGTCTTAACTAACTTTGCTTAAGATGATATTCTCCAGTTCCACCCATTTTCTTGAGAATCACAAAATTTCATTATTCTTTGTGCTGAGTAAAATTCCACTGTGTATAAATACCACATTTTCTTAATCCTTTCATTGGTAGTGGGACATCTTGGCTGTTTCCATAGCTTGGCTATTGTGAATAGTGCTGCAATAAGCATGGGTGTGCCTTGTAATAACCTGAGTCACATTCCTTCAGGTATATCCCTAGGAGTGGTATTGATGGTTCATATGTCAGATCTATGTTTAGTTTTGTAAGAAGTCTCCATATTGTTTTTCATAGGGGTTGTATTAGCTTGCATTCCCACAGCAGTATATGAGGGTTCCTTTTTCCCTACATCCTTGCCAACACCTGTTGGTGGTGATGTTCTTGATGATGGCTATTCTAACAAGGGTGAGGTTAGTGTGGAATCTTAGTGTGGTTTTGATTTGCATTTCCTTTATAACCAGGGATGGTGAGCATTTTTTCATAATGTTTTTTGGCCATTTGGATTTCTTCCTATGAAAAAGTTCTGTTTATTTCAGTTGCCCATTTCTTTATTGGTTCATTGATTTTTGGGGAGTTTAGTTTTTTGAGCTCCGTATATATTCTGGTTATCAGTCCCATGTCTGATGTATAGCTAGCAAAGATTTTCTCCCACCCAAAGTCACTTCCTTACCATAACAATGACATCCTTTTTTCTTTTATTTTTTGGTGGTACTGAGATTTGAACTCAGAGCTTCATGCTTGTTAGGCAGGCACTCTGTTGCTTGAGTCACTCCTCTAGCCCTTTTTACTCTGGTTGTTTTGGAACTAGGGTTTTGCTTTTTGTCCCTGCTAGTCTGGACTATGATCCTTCTATTTTAGGTTTCCTGCCATAGCTTGGATGACAGTCACACACCACCATACCCAGCTTTTTTCTGTTGAGATGGGGTCTCATGAACATTTTTGCCTCGGCTGGCCTGGAACAGTGTTCTTCCTGATCTCAGCCTCCTCTGTAGCTAACATGACAGATGCACCTAACTATTGGTTGAGATGGAGTCTCACTAATTTTTTACCTGGGCTGACCTCAAACTGTAATATTCTTGATCTTTAGACTCTCGAGCTAGGATTACAGGCATGAGCCACCAACACTTGGCTAACAATGACATTTTTATACCTCAGGAAATTCCAATGGTTTTAGAATCTGTGTCAGAAAATTAGAACAATAACAAGAATCTTTATTATAACATTCAATGTAAGCGGATGATGATTCCTATAGGTTACTTGATCTCTGCATCTTCATATTTAAGTGCTACCAACTATTAATGTTCTCTTAGGATTTTGGAAGGAAAGTAATAGGACCTATAGAATTCTTTATATGTTTGAAAGCTCTTTCTTCCATTATCCTACTTAATCACTGCAAGAACTTTATGGGAAGACTGTTTTAGGTCAGAGTATTTTGGTTGCATGTGTCAAAAGCCTAGTTTATACAAAAAAGCATTATTTCAAGGTTCTCATGGGCGTCGTTAACAAGAATGAGAAGCCTAGTTTGGGACAGCTAGCATCAAAGGCTTGGGCATGTCCAGACTATTACTACTCTTTTGAATCCCTCTACCGGTAGTTGAGTCTGTGTATCTGACTACAAAGTCTTCTTGGTTGACAATGAAGATGTATTGCTTCTTTCATCTGTTTACTGAGTAGAATGTGTTTGACTTGGTTAATGTGCTTTTCTACCTTGCCGATATTTTTTTTACCTTCTAAGCACCAGACATCTTTGAAAATGTGTTGAAAATTTTAGATCCATTTATTAGAAAACAAATACATACTTGAAAAGTTTTACCTGCTTTTCAGTGATATCTGGGGAACTACAGTTAAGATTCTCTACTTATTCTATGGTTAACCTGCAAATTCTCATTATCAGAAGAATTTTACTTATATTAAAATCTGAAGGAAAATTTCTTAAGTCTGGAGCATATTTGAATTTATGTTAAACACATTTTGTGACTGGAATACTTCCATGGAAATAATGTGCTTTGCTTATCTTTTAAGTGTCTTACTAATGGCTTCTCTTTGGCTGCAGATAAGTGACGTTGATGAATTTTTATTTTCCCTTTTGTTTAAATTATTTCTCTTGTACTTAAATTTATTTCAGGTGCATTGAGAAGCAGAATGTTCCAGAATTTTCCTACTGACTTACTGCTTTCATTAGCCACAGAACCTCTGACTGCAAATTTCCACAAATGGAGTCTTTCTGTGAAGGTATCACGTTAGCTACATGATGAAATTAATATAATGGAATAACTACAGAGTAAATAATTTTATTTTATTTTTATACTCCAGAATTTTACAATGAATGACAAGTTAATGAACTTTTTCAATGTATTAACTACAAATACAGATGGCAAGATAGAGTTCATTTCATCAATGGAAGGTATGTATATCACTGTAGCATGTGTACTTTATTTTCATTTTATTACTTCCTCTGTCTCTTTGGTTTTGGAGATAGGGTTTCACTGTGTAGTCAGGCTGGCCTCAAACTCTCAGTCCCTCTGCTCTACTTCTCATGTCTGGTTTGGGAGACCACCATTTCTGGAGCCTGGTACCTCTTTTCTTATGTATGAAATCATATTGATTTGGGGCTGAACAAGGAAATGAGGGCATTTTTGAAGACAGGAGGCATGTCCATGTTCCAAATCAGTTTAATTTTACCTGGTTATTTTCTAGAATGAGATAGTGAGACAAAGAATAGGGAGGGGGGAGGATGAAGAAATAAGTGAAGATAATGACTTGTATTTCTAGCAGTATTACAGATTAGCAAGTTTTCCTTCAAAGAATAACAAAAAGTGTGGCTGCTAGAGAAAATGTCTTTTCAAATATATTGATGAAGTGGCAGGAAAATGAGGACATTCAAGTCCAAAACTCTGAGTTGACTGGGGTATTTAAACCAGCATTATTACTGAGTCAGAACTTGATATAATGCTCAGGAGCCCCTTCTCCCCGTCATGGAGAGAACCCCACAGAGCAGGATCTGTAAGGCAGTACCTGTAAGAGAGGGTGAACTCTAAATACACTGGGAATCCTGACTGCAGAACTGCAAGAAGAATTGCCCGTTTTAAACCTATACTGAGGGAGTAGGATGGAGGTAGAGGGAGTAAACTTTGAGCATTCATAATGATAGGCTGGTTTCCTAGTGTGCCTTACATTGTGCTGACTGGGAAGCTTAACAGATCTGAAGTTTGAGTTTTGTTTAAAGTTGTCTCTGACAGGTAGTGCACAGACATTCATGGCAGAAGCAAATTCAAATGATTCTTTTGGGAAGAGCAGGCATTTACAGGCTACAAGGAATGTCTACATCTGAGGTTTAGAGGAGTGTGAGCAATTCATGGCCCCAAATGACTAATGCACAAGGAAGCAAAGTAGCATGTGTGAGAACTTACAGAATAGATGTAGAGTTGGCCATGTACAAACCTTTGATATTAGAATTACGAGATACAGTATAATATCTAACAATCCTATTTCAAGTTTTTAAAAAAGTGCTCTTGAAAACATAGGAATGAAACATTTGAAAAGAGTAAGTTCAGCTATTAGAAATGAAAATAAGAAACCTTAATAAGAAGCTTAGAAATAGAGAATAGTCAGCTAGAATAAAAAGTAAATGTAATGGAAGTATTCAGAATCTGTAGTAGACAGTAGTATAAAATGTGTTGACAGAAAGATTAGAATCTGGAGTCTAAAGTTGAGGAGTTCTAACATATCCAGCCAGAACGCTGGAAGGAAAAGAAGGAAAGGGAGAAAGAATAGACTCTTTTTTCATATTAAAAAAAGTGCAGATGGATAAAAGACCTATGTGGAAAGGAAAACTAAACCAGATTTCAGAGGAAATAAAGGGAATATCTTTCTGATTTTGTGTAAATGAAGGAGTTTTCAAGACAAAAAAATGAAAACTCTAAAGGAAAAGATTGATGAATTCAACCAAATTAAGAAGTTGTATTCATTTAAAAAAAGCACCAACGGAGTAGAAAAAAGTAGGTACTTGTAATACATGTAACTGGCAAAAGATCTGTGTCTAACTTACATAAAGCAAAACCATGAATTAAGAATAAAGTAGCTTATTACTAATGGATAAGAGATTTGCAGTAGTCTAAGAGAAGAAACCTGACTGCCCAATATACTTGTGGCTCAGTGAGATGAGTTGCTCACTGTGGTCATGACTAGGGGAATGCAAATGGAAGCCACAGCAAAAAACCATCTTATACTGGCAAGATTGACACAATTAAGTGTGCTGATACCAAAGCTATCCAGGATATGACACAGCAGGTACATTCATGCCGTTAAGATTAGAGTGGAAATGGCTACAACTGTATTGGAGAACATTATGGCATTTCCTTGTAAAATTGAACATTCTAGTAATATTACCCAGCAGTTGTGTTCCTTTGTTAAAAAATACCTTAGTGAAACCCTTTCATGTACATAGCAATGCACATGGTGTTATTATTCATATTATAACAAAAAGGGAAACAGCCCAAATGCCCAACAGTGCAGAGGTTAAATAAATGAATCCAATGGAATACCAAACAGCTGTTCAGTTAACAGCTTTTATAACCATGAAACACTTTCATCCATGACACATGTTGTGAACATAAGTGAATGTTGAAAACAATTTTGAGTGAATAGAAAATACAAGGGAAAAATATACTATATGTTTATAGGTTTTCATTTATATGATGCTCAAAACTTGGCAAAAGGGAAACAGTATATCTAAGGAAAGAATAAGGTGATGAATTATTCACTCCAGTAATATTTATTGTGCTAATGGGAGGCTGATATGATTTGGAAGGGATCCTTAAAACTTTGGAATTATTAGTTGTGCTTTATATCTTAATCTGGGTGATAGATAATCAGGTATCCATTTTGTTTCCTAAACTATATGTATATGTTCTTTTTGCATTTTTTCAAATAAATGATTTTTTTTCAATTTTGAAAGCTGAAAACAGTAGATGGAAAAAAGAATATTGCCAAATGAAAAAAAGCAGTGAGAACATGGGGAAAATAATGGTTATTATGTGAGCTGGTAGCCAGGTCACTGAGCTTTTAGCCCCAATTTGTTCTTGTGATCCCTAAGCCATAGTGAGAAGAATTAAAGGAGAGATTTATAATAGGTAAGTGGTACTTTAAAAAGAATTGCCATAGTCTTTTGGGTATATCCCCAAGAGTGGTATTGCTGGATCAAATGGTAGATCAACGTTTGGCTTTTTAAGTAGCCTCCAAATTTTTTTCCAGAGTGGTTGTACTAGTTTACATTCCCACCAACAGTGTAAGAGGGTTCCTTTTCCCCCGAATCCTCACCAACACCTGTTGTTGGTGGTGTTGCTAATGATGGCTATTCTAACAGGGGTGAGGTGGAATCTTAGTGTGGTTTTAATTTGCATTTCCTTTATTGCTAGAGATGGTGAGCATTTTTTCATGTGTTTTTTGGCCATTTGAATTTCTTCTTTTGAGAAAGTTCTGTTTAGTTCACTTGCCCATTTCTTTATTGGTTCATTAGTTTTGGGAGAATTTAGTTTTTTAAGTTCCCTATATATTCTGGTTATCAGTCCTTTGTCTGATGTGTAGCTGGCAAATATTTTCTCCCACTCTGTGACTGTATAGCTATCCTTATCTCAACCAGCAAAAACCCTTGTTCCTTCCTATTATTCCTTATACTCTATCTACAACAAAATTAGAAATAAGGGCAAAATAGTTTCTGCTGGGTATTGAGGGGGTGGGGGGAGAGGGAGGGGGCAGAGTTGGGGGTAAGGGAGGGGGTGGGGGCATGGGGGAGAAATGACCCAAGCCTTGTATGCACATATGAATAATAAAACAATAATAAAAAAAAAGAATTGCCATAGTAGCAATTTTGTTTTGTCTTTCAATAAGAGTAATGTGAAGTTTAAGACTAACATTTTTTTCAGACTGTAATATTAACTGTGAATAGTAACAAATATTAGTAAACCCTGCTATTACTAAATATGCAATACCCTCATAGTTGCCAGTGAAGAAGAACAACCCAAATATTCAGGATGACTTGTGGATGTGATATGGATTCAACTTTGTTGAGATAAATAGATTTTTTTTTCTATTAAATATATGCTTGTATTTATGGGTGTAGATACTAGTCTTTGGATATTTCTCTGTATATCTGTCCTAGAGTATTTCTCACTCATCTGTACAAGTAGGAAACTCCTGGAAAAACAGGAAGCACAGTTGGTCACACACAGTTAACTAGATAGCAATAAAGATCTTGAAATGCAATGCAAGTTAGTGGTTTATCCAGAAGCCTTAAGAGATGTCACTTTATAGACTTTGTCTTCTGTCTCTATCTGGAGGATTCTAAACTTTGATGACCTCCTATAAACAAAGTGTGATGGGATGGGGCAGACAGGTTAGGTGCTGGGAGAAGTTGGAAGTAGGAAAGGAGCACAGTGAAGGAGGGAACTCCATCTGCTTTGTGTGTATGATGTTCTTTGCCTTATCTTTGAGTTGGTGAGGCTGGTTAGAGGTACCTGAGAGGACAGGGTGCTAGAGTGGAAAAAAACTAAAATAAAGTGGGAGCATACTGTTATTCAAAGATACATCACTGTGTCCCAGTCAGTTTTCTGTTGCTGAATACCAGAGACTAGGTAATTTATAAAGAGTAGAGGTTTATTTAGCTCAAGGTTCTGGAGGATGGAAAGTCCAGGACACAGTCCAGGAAACTAGCTGGCATCTGCTAGTTTCTGATGAGAGCCTTTTTGCTACTTCCTAACATTGCTGAGTACAGCACATGTGAGAAAGAGCAAGTGTGCTAGCTCAGTTTCTCTTCTCCTTGTAAAGCCACTAGTGCCATTAGTCCCACCCTCATGACCTCACCTAATCCTGATTACATCCCAAAAGCCCCAACTCCACATACTATTAAGTTTTCAACTTAACTCCCCATGTGACTTTGGGGAACACATCTAAACCATAGCACACTGATCAAACAGGAAGGGACAGAGATAATTCCATCTAGGGAATTCTGGGAAGGGTTGATCAACCCAATGCAAAGTGAAGTTATTATTTTCTCTCCAGCCCCATTTCCCCTCCTGCATTTTTTACCTTCAGTTGGTGGCATTGCCTTTCACCAAAACACCCAAAACTAAAAACCTGGGAACCATCCTTCATTTTTTGCCCTTATTCTCCATGCTTAAAAGATTCATGCTAATTTCTACTTCCCAAATCTGTTTTGAATGTTTCCTCCTCCTTTTTCATCCTGTCCTATCCTTCTTCAGCATTAACCATCTTCTAGCTACAATCTGGATTACTGTAGTCACCTCTTAATTGTTCTACACATCCATCTTCCAGCCAGTCATGGTGATCCCAACCAATTTAATCAGGTTGCCTGAACAGAACTCCTCAGTGGCTCTTCACCATTGGAGGATAAAGTCTAAATTTACCCCATCATTTCCACCGTGCTTCTCTTCCGGTTTCTATTCCTGCCTATGAGATCTCTTTAGCACCTACTGCTCTCCACACAGCAGTGTTTTTCACCTTTGCTTCTCATGTTTTGTTTGCTTGTCTTCTCTTTAAGGCTCCATTCTTCCCCATGCCCTTCTGATGGGACTCTCAAATATATTGAAAGAGTCACGTCAACTCTATCATCTCCAGGAAACCTCCTTCATCATTCCTTTTCTTCAGTGCTTTTCCTTTATGCTTGCTTTGTGTTCCCTTCCTTTCTCTCTCTCTCTCTCCCCCACCCTCTCTCTCTATCTTTCTCTCTCTCTCAGCAGTATTGAGGCTTGGGGCTTATACTCAGGGCTTTGTACTTGCTCTGTCATTTGAGCCACACCTCTAGTCCTCTTTTGCTTTACTTGTTTTTCAGGTAAGATCTGACTTTTTTCTAAGGATGACCTCATACTGTAATCCTACCTGTGGCTCCTGTAGAGCTGGGATGGCAGGCATATACCACCGCACCTGGCCAGAATGAATCTGTTTTACTACATGTATTTGTTCAAGTTCCATCTTCCCCTGTAGACTAAGAACTCACTGAAAGCTGGAGCCATATTTTCGTCTCCTCTCTGTTTTGAGACCTTTGGGTAAAACTCAGAAGTTATCATTGAATGGCTATTCAAATAAAAGAGTGCTAGGTTGCAAGTTAGGAATTTAGGCTCCTTCTTGGTTCTTTCGGCTGTAATCATCATAACAGGCTTGTTTGAAAATTTTATCACTGAAAGTTTTCTGACATATGTAAGATTGGAATCCTTCAGATGGTCTGTTGTTTGCATAATTTTTTCTTTCTGCTTTTGCTGCTCTTGTAAATCAGTGAGGCAGGGAATGATTCCTATAGTTGCCAGGAAATTGCAGTGAATGTTGGGGTATCTATTTACATGTATCTATATATATATTTGGTTAAATCTTCACTACAATTTACCATTTAAGGCAATAATGCCTTTCACATCTCAGAGAAATACATTAGGTTTACATTTCATTTGACTGTGGATTATAGTTTTATTTCCTAGTCACCCGGCCTGTGGGCCTCTTGCTGGTACTTTGGTGGGTAGTCCTGGGGCAGACAGAAAGAAGGTGCAAAGTCACAAGGAGGTGGGGAGAGGGGCAGTGTGAAGTGATAGGATATAGTGCCCAGAGTTACTTGCAGGTATATTTTGCCTCTTGTGACCCCCACCAAGGCTGGGATGAAATGTTTCCCTTCTTATAACCTGGTCTGCAGTGGAAAGGTCTAGTGGGAAGTGGGAGGGCAGTGCACTTCCTACTTCACATCTCCACTTGCAGCTGAATCTCTTCATTTCCCTAAGTACTTTCTGATGGTGGTCATAGTAATAATACCAAAGCAAAAAAAAAATAATAATAGAGGGGAGAGCGTTTTCCTATTAAAATGAGGAAAGTCACCTGAAAAAAAAAGAGATGAGTATATAAATTTTCATAGGTGATTGTGTATTAACCAGAATTGCTGGCATAGTTCATAGAAATATTATTATGGGATGAAAACATGTAGGAAGGGGGACAGAGAAAGACCTGTCATGGAGGAAACTAACTAAATGTGCACTTGAGCCTGCAGATGTAAATGTGTGGTTAGTATATGTGAGGTCCTGGGTTCAATCGATTAAACACACCACAGAAACAAAGCAAAAACATGTATTTGACTATTGTCTGAGATACATGTTAAGGCTGAACTGTTTTAGTTTAACCACGATTACCTGGAAAAGTAAGCCATATTGCAAATTGTAAAAGGTTGAAAATCAGTGAAATATGCTATTGGGAATTTTTATATTGATTATGAACAGAAATTACTTATTTTGCATCTCAGAATATACACAGATTTACTTTGATGTAGTGAGTTCTAAAATGTTTTAAGCATGGAACGTGAAACAATTTAAAGTAACATCTCAAGCCTTTCTTACCACTTGCTGATTTGTATTCTTGATACAGGATATAAATATCCGGTATATGGTGTGCAGTGGCACCCTGAGAAAGCTCCGTATGAGTGGAAGAGCTTAAGCGGCATTTCCCACGCACCTAATGCTGTGAAGACTGCATTTTACTTAGCACAGTTCTTTGTTTCTGAAGGTAATATGTGGCTACATAATTTTATTACTCTAGTGTAATTTTGAAGGAAATGCCCTTATCTGGACTATTGTATAGTGTTTTGTTCTGTAACTTTCACGAGGTCTATAGGTTTAACTTTTAAAAGTATCACATAATGTGAAAGTCCTGAAATTGAGATAATTAGGTGTTCAAGTAAACCCAGGATAATTATTTAATAGTATCATATAGGCCACAGTAGGTTGAATTTTTTTTTTTTTTTGACAGTTCTGAGGTTTGAACTCAGGGCTTCACACTTGCGAGGCAGGCGCTTTTGCATTTGAGCCACTCCACCAGCCCTAGGCTAAATTCTTGAACAACAGCTTAAAGAATATTGAGTTCTTCCTTTTTTTTTTCTTTCTTGATTCTCTCATATTACTCTTCTTTTTAGGAATAAAACTTTAATTATAATAACCTCTGAGGATGAAACATTATTTTTCCAGGATGGTAATGTAAAAATATACACACCAGTGTAATTTGAAGTATGTCTGTCTATAGGCATTGCCACACTGGAGATAGCTACTATGCTTTGCTGGTCTTTAGTGATTAGAAGACAGATTTTTATGCTATTTCATGTGGTAAATTAAATTGAGAATTTGGGTGAAGATGTATATTTTTTATTTGAGTGATGTGAGTGTAAGACAGAGGTAAAAGCACAGCTTACAAGGGAGAGTGCGTCATTCAGGTAAGGCATGGTCATTTGAAGACCTCAGTGAGCTTTGTTTTCATGTTAGCTCCAAGCTTACCCTAAGTTTTTATGTACTCTTCTACCCTCACTGGGAAGCCAATAACTCCTATTGGATTCATTCTCCTTCAGGACAAAACCTCCCAAGTTAAAAACAAACAAACAAGCACAGAACAACCTTCCCATAGTTGTAATCCAAAGGACTGTTCTCCTGTCTTTGTGGGCCAGCAAGTGAGAATAACAGTAGGCAGAAGAGCCTTTGCTAAAGTTTTTATCACATGGCAGTGGCAGTCCTTGGCTCTTTATCTGCCAATGTTGTTTTCTTTAAATATGTCAAACGAATCTATGTTTACTTTGATTTTAGGATAAGCTGTGAGTTCTCATCCCCTCATATCCAAAATTTGACCATGGCAAACTCCCACACTAGGTCTTTTTGTGTTTGTTTAATAATTGTGCCTTGTCTGGGAAACACCTCATTTCTCCATCTGCCCTCTCTTCACCAGTTTCTCCATCTTTTTTACTCTTGTAGCATCTCAGTAAAGGTTTACTATGAAAACAGTATACCATTCAGTTCTGTGTGGTGAGTAGCTTAAACTTTTGTAGTGTTAGGCCCATGACCTATCACAATTCCCATGCTCAGATTCCTTTTAGGAAGTGCTTAAATAAATTAGGGAGCTGCAAGCACCACATAGGACCTGGTGTGGGGCAAGTATAGCTGCTACCAGTGTGGCTGTATTTGGGGTGGAAGATTCTTTGAAGCATTTCTCTACTTGCTGGTGTTTTTCCCACTTAATAATGCTGATTGTGGGGAGAACTATTATAAAGTAATCTTGAAAATCTCGTCATCCAGTCTTTTTAAAAACAAACATTTTCTTTGTCTTGCAGCCCAGAAAAATAATCATCACTTTGAGTCTGAACAGGAAGAGAAGAAATCACTGATCTATCAGTTCTCTCCATTTTATACTGGAAATATTTCTGTATTTCAGCAATGTTATATGTTTGATTGAGAATCTTTGATGTGTTAACAGAGCAACTTTGGGTAATTACCTGATTAAACTGTTGTAAATTGCTACTTATGGTAATGTGAGAAACCAGAGACCCCTTTTCTATGTGACTGACTCTGATGATTTTTTTCTGTTATATTTGATAAATCAACAGTGAGATAGATAAATAATCAATGTTCTTCATGGAAAAGACTTCTTATATATGAAGATTGAAAAAGCTTAATTTATTCAAAATATAAATTTTTTTCCTCATTGATTGATACTAGAAATAAATGTCATCCTCTACCCACCTACCTATTTTCTTTTTTTGTTTGTTTGCTTTTTGTTTTTTTGCAGTAGTGGGGCTTGAACTCTTCACTTTGAGCTACTCCTCCAGCCCTGTTATTTTTTTGTGAAGGGTTTTTCAAGATAGGGTCTCATGAACTATTTGCCCGAGCTGAATTCGAACCATGATCCTCCTGCTTTCTGCCTCCTGAGTAGCTAGGATTACAGGTGTGAGCCACCAGCACACTATTTTCTTAAGACTTAAAATTCTGCTTCTACTTCCCTGTGATGTCTCCTTCCTTTGGGTCTCAGGAGAATTGTGTGTGTGTGTGTGTGTGTGTGTGTGTGTGTGTGTGTGTGTGTGTGTGTATTGTATGTTAGTGGGAAGTGTGTAGAAGTATACATAGTCATCTCCTTTTCTGCTGTGATTTGGCTTCACAGTTAATGGGCATATATCCTAAAAGCAGTGCAGTGTCTGTGTCTTGAACATTTTATCTTCCACAGTGTCTAGCACAGTAATTACCTGTAATTACTTGTAAATGATTATTTTTACATGAAAAATAATTAAAATGCTGTTACACATTTATTTTACATTTATTACAGTTTCATAGATTTCTCTGTATGTACTGTTGTCTTCTACTCCTCACAATCCTGCATATAAACCCTGAAAAATCTGAAAGTTAGGAATTTCTTGAGGACAAGCAAGCTCCTAGAAAAGAGAAAGCAGTTTCTGAGCTGTATCTAATGAAATACATCTGTATTTTGTGCTCTTTAGAGCTGTGGCTAGAGAAGAAAAAAACAGGCAACTGTGAAATGTTGGAGGACATCATGAATGGTTTTTACATGCAGAAAGATAAATACAGTAATCTGAAGATACTGGGTAATAAATGAAACAGAGAAATCAAAAGGAATACCAAATATAGTTAGACAAGAAAGAACTTTAATAGAAATGTGGCAGATTTGGACTCTTTGTTGAATCTTTACTCGTCAAGTTTGCCATTCCTGGTCAAGTTTATGCCTTCTACCATTAGAAAAGTTACTTACCATGCAAGGCCCTTTCCCAACTCTTTTGTATTGGAACCATACAGAACTGTTTGACTCTGCAGGGCTCCAATAGCACCTCAGACTGCAGCATTTCTCATGGTGCTGCATCCATCCTTCTGCACATGCACACTGGCTTCCAGTTGCTCTCTTTTAAAGTTTCTTACTGTGCTTCACTGGTGACCACAAATGCAAGAAAATGTGAACAATCATTAGTTTTTGCTCATACTAAATTTATCATTTTTTCAACTCTCAGCTGTTTTTGAAGTTTTTGTACTTGAATCACTTTATTCGAATGATAAAATTTCTTTCCTTTTTTTTTTTTAGTGGTGTTAAGGATTGTTCATGCCGAATAAGTGCCACTCTCCCAGCCCTAAGAATCTCTAAGTTTCCCTCACTACTGCTTGAGGGCAAGTGTGAAGACCAGACTGTTACAGCAGAGAATGTCCCTCATTAGGTCAAATGCCAGCAGGTCAGTGGGACCAAAAGAGGACACTAGTAGATGAGCCTGTTGCTATTGCTGAGCAGCAGTCTGAAAGGTCCTTGACGGATGGGATAGCCACTTCTCATGCCTGAGTGTCTCGAAGTGTAGAGCCTAAGGAAGGAATGGGCCATATATTTCTTTTTTAGCAAGAGGAGAGCACAAGCTAAAGGAAAAAGAGAATGAGGAACTGTGTGTAGATTAGAAAGAGGAATAGCAAGAAAGAGGCAGGAAGCATTGTGTAAGCCTGGGACTTTCTGCATGAAGGAGACAGCTGATGTGTTTCCAGCTTTCAGCTGGTTTCAGTTTCTAAGGCTGTTTGGAGAATGATTGCTGCCATTCTTTCCTCCTGCTTTCACATTCTCTTACCTGTGTGGAATAACCTGAATGGAATGAAAATTTTGGTCTTAAGAGGCTGGTCTTACATTTCTATATAGCGTTATAGAAATGGGCTTGAAGACCAACCACTGTACTTGACTTGAGGACTGTTACAAAACATTTTATGGGAGATGCTAAATGTCTCCCCACTATACCCTGCAGAGTAGGGAAACCTCCAAACCTTGGCAGTAGGCCAAGATTTTGTGGCTAGAATAGTACCATGACTTCTAAAAGCACAGTAATAAATCACATGAAAGTACACAACCCATTAAGACCTCAGTAAATGCCCTACATACATGTAGGGTCTTGCTGATTTTACTTGATGGAATTGCAAGAAAATATATCATTGACAAGTTTTCTCACTAGGGAGAGAATTAAGAAAATGTCTGCTGCTCTTTAGAAGGTTTGTTACTATGTTGCTTGTTGGAATTTAATTTCACTTATTGAACTTAGTTATTCTAAAGTGGAAAAAGGTTTTATTCCATATATCATTTTCATAATGATACATGAAATAGTTTAAAATTGAGTTATTTTGCAGTAACACATGAGAAACACTAGATGTCAGGATAGAACCAGCTAACTGAATGTTTTAACAGGTTGTGTTTGCCTTCAACCATTTGGAAGAGATTGTAGGAAATTACTAGAACCTAAAGAACGCTTTCTAGCACCATTATTCTGTTTATTTAAATACTAATGGCTATAAAAGTATAGGCTTCAATACTGGGTGTTTTTCACTCTTATCTATGAGGAAGTCCTGAATGACTCCATCTGTTAAGAGGTTGGCTCTTCATATACATAAGTTTGTGGATTTAATATTAAAATCCCCTTTCCTCTGCTGACTAATTAGACAAAATGTAGGCTGGGGAGGGTTTTCTGGATGGGTAGAACCAGACCCTCATACATGGGCATCTTTAGAGGTCTGCAGGGAAGTTCCAAACCAATCAGGAAATGTTCTTGATCATCTACAAAGACATAGGGAAGAGAAGCGCTTTAAACAAACATGGTCATGCTGTGCATTTTCCCTATAGATTAAAGTTTGTCATCATAATGCACTCTCTAAAGCTTGCTTTGGTTTCTCCTTTAGGTTTAAGGGAAAGTCCTTAATGATTAGTTTTCCTGTTGGACTTGTTCCTTTGTGGATAAATTTGGCATGCTTTTAGGCTTCCAGTTCTCTGACATTTATTATATTTTCTCAGAAGCTTTATTTAGAGCCAGGCTGTTTTATAATATAGATGATCTTTAGAATTTGTAATATCATTTTAACATATTTTTCTATAGTTAATTCAAGTTAATTCCTTCTGCAAACATTTTTGGAAGAAACTTAAGGGTGTGAGAGAATTAGGAAATCTCAGAATGGAGTAAGTTTAGGCTATCACAGCAGGCAATGGAAATTTGTTATTTCCATTAATGAAGCCTAAGTGGTATTTGTTTTAGGTTAGCCGCATTACCTCCAAATTACATTGAACTGCTCACAAACTAAAAGTCACAACTCTTTCTTGTCCAGTTTATATGTCATATCTTCCAGCTTCTCAGAAGATAAGACAAGGAAAGAATACCAGGAGTCAGGATGCCCCATATCAAGTCCTATTTCTACCAATTCCTACCTGTGCAATGTTGGGCAAACCTCACAGTCACTTAGCTATGAAACTTGCTATTTATACTCTGAGGACTTCAGATCTTTTAAAACTCCAAGTTTTTAAACTCAGAGTAGATACTTTCCTAATTTCTAAGAATCTGAAAAATACTTCATACACGTTTATAACTTAAATAGTACAATAAAGGTTTTCATCTTGAATTAGATATCAATAGATAAAACTATTCTTTCTTTTTCAATTTTGCAAAATGAAGTGAGGATGAACATTTGCATTTTTTTACCTTCTCTAGTCAAAGGAATCTAAATTGTTTGGCTCCTCTTCAGTAGTCTATCCAAGGACAAAGAAACTAAAAAAATAATGTATGCAAATCTGTTGGTATAATTAAAAATAATTATGTTGACCCTAATTTTGAGTGAAAATAGCCACATAAAGCAAGCTTTGAACTGTCTTATCTTAGAATAAATGTTATAACAATAACAACGTATCAATGATAATTTTTTTACAAATGAAAAAGAACCTGCTTCTGTTATTTCCCCTTGGCATATTTTCACACAGTTACAAATACGACTTGTGTCCTGCTTCTTTCACTTAACCTGATCAAAAGCATGTTTTTATGCCATCCTAGCTGTCTGGATTTCTGCTCTTTGCAAGGGTTGAGCTACTAAGCTGACCACGCTCAGCAGGTTGGGATTGTTCATTGTAGGAGGTGTGAGGTGACTCAGCCAGGACAAGAATTCTCCCTAACACAGTCCAAAGTGGGGCAGTGAGGCAGGTCCAAGCCAAAGTGCACACAGGAAATCAGAAAATGCAAGAGCAAACAGACCAGACAAATTCAGTGACTGGCCAATGGAAACTAGAATTAGGGATTGAAAAAGGCTTGAAGTGCAAGCCAAGAGAGTCCAGGCTAAGAGCTCCAATGTCAAGGGCAGTGGCGGGAGTGGGGAACATAGCTTGCTTTATGGTATTCAGGAAGGTGACCAGTTGTATCTCTTTCTCTTGGAGATATGGTAGCAAGGGACTACACTTACTTATTTTTTTAATGACTATAAGACATTCCAACTATAAAAGCTACCAGCCCTGGCCCACTTTGGCTATTTAATTCTGTTACTTCAAAGCCAGCATAGTTAGTGATTTAATCCCTCTTCTCCCAGCAACCAGATTGTGGGCTCCCTGTACATTCCTTGGTTTAGAATTGCTGTAGACCACCAGACACCGTGTACTCCAAACCCCTCTCTTCAGGGTTCTCTTTGGTCTCTTTTCCAGAGGGACTTTAATATTCGGGGTATCCTTTTCTTTTTCTTACCCAGCCTTCTTGGGGTGCCTTTGTGATTCATTGAGTGCCCTGTCATGTCAGGCTATAGTCCCAGCCTTGTCTCAGCAGGATGAACACCTGTTGCCTTACAGTCAGCGTGCTGAAGCAGAATGTTCTCAGGTGAGAAGACCACCCAGCCCAGCATTCACTGGGCAAGCTTAAATGGGAAGAGGCAGCATCTTAACCTTGTGCTTAAACTGTGATTTTCAGTGCAGCCTTAAAG